TCTGTTCCCAAAGTGTTCTCCGTAGCCCAGACACCCACAAAGATTCACAGAATTGGATTGGGAAGAAAAGGGGAAAGGAGGAAACAGAGGTGTTCTGAGGTAGAAAATGGAGAGTCAAAAGTGGGAGAGAGTAATCAACACCCTCCTGAGTAAAAATGGGAACTGAATATTGGCTTCTTAAATGTCCAAAATTTATATCACATACTGAAAAACAAAGATTAAAAATCTAGAGTAGAGGTTAGACTCCAAAAAATACAATGTTAAAAACAAACACACACACACACAGACACACACACACACACACACACACACACACAAAGCGCATGGTAAGAGTAAAATTACAAGATAATGGACTTTTACTGGTGTTAAGGACTGCAGAGAGGCCCAGTCTGGGAGTTTCCTAACTGGTGTGCTTGGCGGGGCTCCAGAGGCCCAGCTCCCTCCCAGCAGACCCACTTGACCCTCAGGATGTTTGTCATTTGTTGAGGATCAAACCGAACGCCTGGGTCTGGGAGGTCTGGGTGGGAGGAGGTTGGTGAGGTCTGGCTGGGCAGAAGGTGGAGGCGTGGAGCCAGAGGATGGAGTTGGTATGGTTGGAACCCGGCAGCATTGGAGTCCTCAACAGGAACATGAGGGCAGGACATTCCTGATGCTCCTTATCAGGAATTCAGGCAATTAAACAGAGAGGGAGGGAGAGGTTGGGTGTGAGGAGGGAAGAGAGTGGTGGGGCGGTGGGGATCTCCACTCACTTCTTTTTATTTTTTCCACTCAGTTCTCAGACTGAGGGCAAGGCGGCTCCTGACTGTCCTCTAGGTCTCATGTTGTCACGGGGCTTGTTGTCCTGGGATCTGAGGGAAAAAATGGAGTTTTCTGTAACTGCCTGGAGCAGTTATCTGGGGCGCTGACGTCCGATGCTGTGGTGTCTAGGGAGAGGGGAATCTTTTGCAGGTCACTTTGCCGAGTAGCTGGAGACAGCCGTGGAAACTTCCCGAGCCCTTTGTGTTCCAAGGTTCCAGGAGAGGAGTCAGTTCTCCCTCTGTCATCTGAAAAACTGCACTTGAGCAGTGGATTCAAGGCCCCTCAGGTCTGTCCACGTCCTAATCCCCAGGACCTATTATCTTCCACGGTGAAGAAACTGCTCAGGTGTGATTAAGTTAAGCACCCTGGGATGGGCGAGCACCCTGGACTGTTCAGGAGGTCAGACAGTCCTATGGGGGACTCAGGAGGGTCAGCATCAAGGGCAAAGGTGACCTGATGAGAGACAGAAGTTGGCGCAAAGTGACCATGAGCCCAGGAACGTGGGCACCTCCAGAAGCTGGAGGAAGTGAGGAGCAGATGCTCTTCTGGACCCTCCAGGATGAACAAGACTTCTCGACACCTTGATTTTAGCCCCTTAAGACTTGTTTTGAACTACTGGTCTCTGGAGCTGTAAGGGAATAAGTTTGGGTTGTTTTAAGTTACGATGTTGGTGGTCATTTGCTCTGTAGCCGTAGGAAACACACACAGTGAGCGCTGGATTCTTCAAAGGGAATTACACGGCCCTCCCTGCCCCTCCTAGGACTGGCCCCTGGCCTGGCACAGACGCCCCCACCTTCACTTTTACACTGGAGTCACATGGGGAACTTTTGAAGCTCTTCTTGCCCAGATCACACCCCAGGTTAACGGAGCCACACTTTCTGGCAGTATCAGCACCCAGGCCATGCGGCGGCACTTTTTTTTTTTTTTGTAAATAGAGAAATAGTCCACATGACAACAAAGTGTCTGTGTCCTTTTGTTGTTCATTTGTGAGACACCCTTAAATATTCCAGATGCAAGGCTTTTGTCAGATAAATGAACTGTGGATATTTTTTCCCAGTGATGTGAGACATTCTTTCTCTCAAAGCTCCCTAGGCAGTGCCCTGGTGATGCCAAGGTTGAGACAACTCACCTGGTGCTTGTTCCCTTCATTTCCTAGAGGATGAGATCTGGGTCCACCAGGCAGGTTTGTAGTCAGACAGCTTGATGCTGATGTAGCTTCAACCCTGGCCTGCCTCGTGAACTTCAGTGAATCCTGTTAAATGATACAATGAGGCACAGTACACATCTCAGGAGTTGATCTGAGTGCATGTCATTTGGAACGTGGTAAGGAGTGTGCCACAGCGGGATAAGGGGAGGCTCTTGTAGAGAAGGCTCAGAAGCAACCCGAGGGCAGTATTTGCTTGGCTGCAGCTTCATGGGGGCTCCGTTTGGGGTCGACCTGTGGTTGTCGTGTCACTCCTTTCTCTGGAATGCAGGTGCCCTGGCTCTGGCTTCGGTGTGGGTTTGCTCATGAAGGTTGCCTGGGCATTACAGCCACCAGGTCTGCTGGCTTCCTCATTGATTAATAATCACTTTGCCAGTCAATTAATAGCTCTGTGCCTCCTCTTCTCACCCCTCTGATGGAGTTAGTAATAGTACTCATAAGAGTGTGCAATAATTAAAGGAACCAAATGCAGAGCCCATGGTGCTGACTGGCACTCTATGCATGGATTATGATCTCTCCGGATAGTGTCAGGACTTCAAATCAGGTTTTCTCATATTTACACAGAATCTTCTGTCTTAGGCAAAATTTCCCGGTCACCAACATTTGCCCCGCAGGAAAGCCTGGTGTGAGGGGAGCGGATGGTTGTAACACTTTAGATACAGAAGAAAATCCTTGAAAACAATGTGCTCCACAACAAGGGAAGTCACCAAAATGAGAAGCCTGTGTGTGGCAATGAAAACACAGTACAACTGAAAATTGATAAATAAATAATTAAAAACCAAAAAATCTTCCCCGACAAGTATCAGGGAGTTCAGGCCTGTTGGGCATGAGCTGCCCATTCTTCCTATTGGCCCTGTAATGAACCTTTTCTGCTCCAAACCCCGACGTTGGGTTCGTCAGGCCTCACTGTGGTCAGGAGCTCAGACCTGGCTCGACCACTGTCCTGCCTTGGTTTGGTTCAGATCAGAACACAGCTCCCACCTCTCTTTCCTGAGATCTCGATGCATGGAGGGTCCCGGCTACTCCTCCCTGGAGACATCCTGGGGCCAGGTGGCTGGAGGGCTGAGAGGAGGGCGGGGCTCAAGCAGGGAAGAACTTAGCAGACAAGCTCCCCCCCAACCCCCCACCACCATTCAGCCGGCTCCTGGCTGTTTCTCCAGGCCCTTCCGCATTTCTGATGCCTCCTCCCCTGGGCCTGGTGATGCCAAAGCACAAGCAGCTCCCAAGAGGGACCAGGGAGGGTGGAGCTGAGCACAGGCTTTGCTGACAGAGCTGTACCTGTGTTGTAGCCATGCGTTCCGGGAAACAAACTCACTCAGAAGGACAATGCAGATAGTGGAGTGCAGTTTATTATACCAGCGGGCCCAAGGCAGAGTCTCCTCTTAGCCAAGGACCCCGACCAGTTTTTGTGAAAACCTTAAATACCCTAAGTGTATAAGGTTCCCTGAAACTAGTCTGAACAAAGGAAAAAGAAAGATACAATCAAAGCTAACCCATGATTCATATGCCTTAAGCCTAGGTAGTTAACAGTGGACAATTATCAATAGGCCTGTGGTCATACCCCAAAAAGCATAATAGAATGTATGAGTCTATTTGGTTACACAGATAATTAGGGTATTCTTTTAGGCTATGGAGATCTCTGGGGCTCTTCCTTCCAGGGGCCTGGTTTTCCAGTTGGTAGGTCATTTCCATAGATACTGGGCATATAACTCAAAGTCCACAGTCCGGCCCAAGATGGAGTCCTGCTTTCAGGATGGAGCCTGTTCTGTCTCCTCCTTCACCTGTACCTGGGCCCTCCTGCTGCCACCTGCCTCTCATGTCATTGTCTGTGCCACAGGTGTGTTCAGAGCAGAGGAGCAGACAGAGTGCCAGGAACCGAGCTCACTGGACCTCTCAGCTTGGGAGAGAGTAAGGTGTCTGGGGCTCTTTCCTTTCCACCCAACTTTAGAGCAATGAGGACATTGCTTCTGCTGTCCCCTGAGGCTCTCTTGCGTCAAACACTCCTGATGTGACAAGAATAGCATTGGGCCATCAGAGAATAATTTGCCAGGCAATTATTGTTTTCAGAAAGTGATGCTGCTCTGCAAACTGTCTTAAATTGAATGTGAACTTCCACTTACAGAGAAAAAGCTTATCATTTGGTTTCATTTAATAATTATTTAGATGATTGTAAGAAGAGCAAGTAAATTCAAATTCAATTATTGATTTTTATGATATTAAATGAGAACTTCAACAAGGATAAACGACAGCTTTCTATCTGAGTAAATTCTGATTCTTAGAAAGTAGCATGAAAAATTCGTATCAGCCACTCTATGTGATGAATGGATATGCTGACATTGTTATTTATAAAGTCCTTGTAGAGCACAGGCCTTTGCCGTGCGTTAGCAGATGGTCATTTTTCTCTGGAGACACTGAGGATGGCGTCCTGGTGCTTCTGCATCTATTCCCGCTGGTCAGCGGCTGCACTGCCTGGTAATAGCTGATGAAACTTGCTAATAATAACTCAGTAAAAATTTAATAATCTGCAATGGCAATAAAATTCAATTCAAAAACAAACCTCAGTCTACATAAATGTTTGCTATTGATCCATCACCATATTGATTCTGTTTCTCCTATTACAGCCACACTAGTTTTTTTTTTTTTCCACACTTTTTTTTGTTGTGGGAGCCCTATTTATACTGCAGGTGGAAGACAGCAGTGAGATGGGAGATTTTTTAGGTGAGATGTGAAATCAGGAACTCTCACCTAGAAACAATGTTTCCACCTCTGGGAGACACAGAGCACTGACTGCCAAGGTATTCCATTCCTCACTGTAGCTAGATCATAGCTTTATCCACCTGGAAGGAATGATTAGTAAATTGGCAGGTGCAATGTGTTTGTTTAAATAGTAAAGAGAATGAAACTCAGCTTCCTGTATTCTTTCATGCTAAAATTTTACATTGTACTCTACTTCCTTCCAGTTTGGTTCCTGGCCTTGACCCCTGCTCTCCTTAGCTACACTTCTGAAAGACAGAGCCCTTGACCTTGTCCCAGCCTTGCCTTCTGAGTCTTCCAAGCAAAAACAGATACATTCCTTTGATTGAGGCTTGTTTTCCCATCTTGAAAATGAGGTAATATTCCCCTCTCAGCGGGTTCTTCAAAGATTCAATAGGGGATTACTTAGATGACAGGGTTTTGTAGCAATTTGTGTTCCTGCTATACCTGTTCTCCACTAAGAACATTCTGGGGTCTCCCTCCTCCCTGAGACGCCCTGAGCCCCAAAGCTCCAGCTGCTTGCCTCCACCCCTGTGTTTGTGCTGTTTCTCTGTGGTCCAACTCGGCTGACCCATGCACTGCACCCACCCAGCCTTTCACACCTCCCTGTTGCCATCATGCACATTTGTTCATATGGGAAACTCATGATCTCCCAGAAGGCTTTGTTCCAAATTTCCATGCTGCATGTGACATCGACGTCAAGTGATGGGATCTCATTGTATTTCCAAAGAACTTATGAACTGAAGTGGGATTTGGTATATCAGCAAATGACCAGACTAATTTAAAAGTTCTATCTTTTATAGTTATGCTGGAATTGAAATACTGTACTGTTTGCTATATAAGGAAATTTTTTTTACCAAATTTAGTGTACATCAGGTTTCTTGGGTGCCATCTCAAACACAGGCAACACTTATTGGAGAGATATTGGCACTCACAGAAACTGCAGGATCTAGAGGATCCAACCTGGAGAAGAGGAAGGACCAGTGGAGCCTTGGGAGCAACAGAAACTGAAGCAAAGCTGAGGCCATAGGAACGCTTTGGTGCACACAAGGCACCCCTGTCATGTTACATAGCAAGAAGCATAAAAATTTCCATTTCTTTCTTAGGTTGATTACTGATGAATGTTTCCTCAACAGGTAGAACCGGTCACCAGCTAACTGCAAGGCTACCAGGAGGACAGTCAGTGGAAGTCAGCGAGTGCTGTCAGTGTCCCCCTGCACTGTTTGTTCTGTTCCCAAGGTGCTCCTCTACCACCCCTCCTCCTCCCAGCAAACTTTCCTGCTCACTTCACTGTCCAGCCTGAGCATCCTGTCCTTTGTGAAGCTCCAAGCTACAAGGACAGAATGATGGCCTCTCACTTCTCCATGTTTCCAGAAACCTGGTTCACAGCCTGTGGTCTTTAATTTGCAACCTAAGTCTAAATGGGTCACCCTTTCTTTCAAAGGTAAATAAAATAGGAACTTCCCTGGGGGTCCAGTGATTGGGATTCTGCTCTTCCAATGCAGAGGGTATGGGTTCGATCCCTGGTTAGTGAACTAAGATCCCACATGTTGTGTGGGGTGGGAAAATAAATGAATTAAAAAACCTTAAAAGAAAAAAAAGGTAGATAAAACAAGGCTCAAACCAAGGACTGCCAACAAGGCTACCCTGGGGGACCCCCCAAAGTCTCAGTGTTCATTAGGGCCTGACTTCCCTCCCAATCACTTGGCTTCCAAGCTTGGCTACCATGAATCCTCAGCCTCCCTCCCATCTAGCTTCATTTGGTGTGTCAATCAAGTTCCCTAAAATACATGCGTGCAAAGCATTTAAGTGAGGGGCAGAGTTTAGTGAAGGGTTGGGGTTCCTGAGGACATTTGCATCACACAAATACCGCTTAAAATTGAATACCAGACATGTTTGTCCTTTAGTTTTGTTTAACCTTTATATAAACAGTTTACTCTAAATAGCACCACAGACAAAAAACTATATAAATACAAAAGAAGTGATGTGAAAATGAGATTGTTTACTCTTCTATTATACAAAAGTAATAAACACTTATGGTTTTAAAATTCAAAAAGCAAATGAAAAGCTAAATATTGCTTTAGCACTTTCTCCTCTGTCATCCATTTCTGCTCCCCAGAAATAGCCAGAATTACGGGTTTTTTGTTGTTTTTTTTTTTTAATGTACCCTTCCAGAAATTTATTGCACATGTACATTTTTTCAAAAATCAGATTCTATTATAAATAAGATATTCTGTAATTTGTTTTTTTCACTCGACATTATATATTGACCCTCTCTATAGGTATATGTATGTGCATATGTATATATGTGTAAACTGCTATAGATGCTTCATTTTATACAAGTGCATACACATTCATTCATTCAATAGGCATTAGTGAGTGTTTGTACATGCCAGGCATTAGGACCAGTCTTCCACTGATGGACAGTTGGGTCCACTGTGCTGCTCTGAATACAGTGCACTAATGAACATCCTTGTAAAGCAGCAGATGTGCTGTGTCAGAGCAGTGCACTGTGAGCTCTGGTGGAATTTGGGGACTTTTTGCAACCTGTTTGAGTCAGTCTCACCAGCAGCATTCCTACACCCTGTGGAAGTACTGGGGGATCGTTGAGCGTTTCCATTTTTCCCATGTAGTAGAAACAGTGGCCTTACCGTTTGACTCTGTATTTCTCTCTTAACAAGTGAAGACATGCATCTGTGCGCAGTTGCTGGAGACCCTTTGTTCTTGTAAGGCTGGAACTCTGTCACCAGAAACCTTCCCCTGGGCCCTTATGCCCCAGTCCCATTGGGCTGTCGGCCCCTCCGGCTCCTCCCCAACCTTCTCTTTGTTCTCTGGTTGTTCTGCTGCTGCTGCTTCTGCTAAATTGCTTCAGTTGTATCCGACTCTGTATGACCCCATAGACGGCCTGCTGCTGCTGCTGCTGCGGCTAAGTTGCCTCAGTCGTGTCCGACTCTGTGCGACCCCACAGACGGCCTACCCCACCTCAAAGCTGGTCTTAAGGGATGTGGGTCAACAGTTGTGAAACTACTACCATGTAATTGAACAGTTTAGTAAATGGAAGATATTTGGTGGGAACCAGAGTTCTCAATGTTGAAGCGAGAGGTCACAGATAAGAAAATGGGGAAGACTAAGATAATTTTCTTCATGATCAAGTGGAGTTGGAAAGCTCCACTTTGGTTTAATGTATGTAGATACAGATTGTTATATTTTGAAATGTTTCTGGATATTAGTAAACACACTTCCCTTGTTTATTCTGGCTTCAAAAATTTGTAAGCTTGTTTGTCTCTGTTTAACTTTCTCACTTTTTTGCTGTTTGGGGTTTTCAGAGCACAGTTGGTGGTTTGGCAGCAGAACTTTTCTTTACAATTCTTGTTAACATTTAGTTTAGCACAAAGATCACAAACGGGCCCAAGGGACACATCACCTCTTTCATTATGGAGGAGTCTAAGTGATTTCAGAAGCTTTTACTAAAAGCCATTAAATTTATAAAATAAAGATTCTTTACTGTAACATTTTATATTATCATAGATCACTGCCCCTTTCTCTACAGTAGTAGTGTGTGTGGTATGAATTTCCTAAACCAAAGAGTTAAATTTCTTTATCTAAATTTACAAACTGTACCAGCATATACTGAGCTGAAGGCTACCAAGTTTCTCAACAGAGGTGGATTGGAAATACCATTGGCTGCACTCAGGCTTTCTTATACATATAATTTTACTTACTTATTTATGAATATGCTGTGTTTTTGTTGCTGTGTGGGCTTTTCTGTAGTTGTGGTTAGCAGGGACTACTCTCTAGCTGGGGTGCTCAGGCTTCTCATTACAGTGGCTTCTCTTGTTGCAGAGTACAGGGTCTAGGTTGCTCTGGCTTCAGCAGTTGTGGTTCCTGGATTCTAGAGCACAGGCTCAGTAGTTGTGGCACGCAAGTTTAGTTTCTCCTCGGCATGTGGGATTTTCCTGGATCAGGAATTGAACCCCTGTCCCCTGAATTTTCAGGCAGATTCTTTATTACTGAGTCGCAAGGAAAGCCTCTACACTCAGGCTTTCTATCCACACAGAACAACCTGCCTGAATTCAGTAAGATCAACCTTTCCTGTGTGTCTGTATAAAGTCAAATAACTTACGTGACTGGTAGACTCTAATTCTTTTTTTAAAAATTTAATGCTAATTTTTGTATTGTGTTAAAATACACATAACAAAGTTCACCAACTTAACCATGTTTAAGCATGTAGTTCAGTGATATTCACAGACTGTGCAGCCAGCAGTACCACCCAGTCCCATTAGACTTTTACCTTGTAAATCTGAAACTCTATATCTATTAAGCATTAATTCTTCATCTCCTCTCGCTTCAGCTTCTGGCAACCACTGTTATAGTGAAAGTCGCTCAATCATGTCCGACTCCTTTCGGCCCCATGGACTGTACAGTCCATGGAATTCTCCAGGTCAAGACTGGAGTGGGTATCCTTTCCCTCTCCAGGGGATCTTCCCAACCCAGGGATCTAACCCAGGTCTCCTGCACTGCAGCTGGATTCTTTACCAGCTGAGCCACATGGGAAGCCCCACCACTGATATACTTTCTGTTTTTATGATTTTGACTATATGTTTCACAGTGAAGTCATATAGTATTTTCTTTTTTGTGGTTGGTTTAATCCACTTAAGATTGTGGATTCTAGAATCTTGATGCAATGGAATCCAGAGGTAGGTAAAAAATACTTAAAACTGTAGTCCAACTCCCTTACATATCAGATTCTGAGAAGACCACAAAGAGTTGGACAGGACTGAAGAAACTTAGCACTTAGTATGCACAAACAGAAAAATATAAATAAAACTACACCCTGGCATATCATAGTTCAATTGCTGAAAGTGAAAGATAAAGAGAAAATCTTAAGTAGAGGCAGAGAAAAAAAAGATTACATGAAAAAATAATAAGAATGACAGCTGATTTGTCATTAGAAATAATTTAAACCAAAAGGCAATGAAATGACATTTTTGAGGTGGGGGCTGGGCAGAGAAAGTCAGCTTAGAATTTGCTATCACTATAAGAACATCCTTCAAAAAACAAAGGTGGTAAAATAATGATCTTTTCAGTGAAACAAAAACTGAGGGAAATTATACCAGAAGGAAATCTGGATCTAAACAAAGATCCAAAGTGTCAGAAAAAGGTAAAAAAATGGATAAATGTAAAATACATATAATTTTCTTTTCTTAATTTCTTCAAAGTCAATTTACTGCTTAAGGACATAAATAATACATCAAGAGGGGTGGGTGACTGGAAGATTCAAGTATGACTTCTGGGTTTCATGACTGTGGTTATGGGCATGCCATAAGAAGAAATGATTGGATGGCATTACTGATTCAATGAACACGAGTTTGAACAAACTCTGGGAGATGGTATAGGACAGGGAAGCATCCTGCAGTCCATGGGGTTGAAGAGAGTTGGACACAATTTAGTGACTGAACAACAACAACAATGGCCCTGCTGTTTGCTAAGGCTAGGAGAACTAAGAGAAGACACAGTGGGGGGAGGAAGGTAAAACACTTCTCCTTGGACACTGATGACTTCCTAGTCTGCATCCGTTTCACCCGGCCTAAATTCTTCCTTGTGTCTGTATTTACCAGACTTTCCTCTACTCCAAGTGATTCAGGAAAAGCTGGCTTCACCTTCTTCTCCAGAGCTGGCCGAATGGCGCTAAGGGTCAGTTCTTCTCTCCTGGTTAATGGCTAATTTGGGAAACCTGGCCTGAGGCAATCAGTGCAGGGCGTTCCATGCCAGAGGGCAGGTTTAGGAATGGGTTAGGGGAGAAGTACTGTGGGGACTTAAGAGAACAAAGTATATTCTTCCCTGAGAGAAATGCATGTCACTTCTTCCTCTGGACACTGTGTTTCGAAGAGGTGAGGCTGGTACTCTGACAACTGTCTCAATCCAGCGTAAGGGGGAGCAGGCCTCACCCCAGCACAGAGCTCAGAGCAGGCACATGACTCCTGGAACTTCTGCTGATGCACTGTCTGCATCAAGACTTTCCCAGCAGACCGTGAAGTTCAAGTTACATCACAGGTAGCCCAGGCCATTGTACCTGTCACAGACACAGTAGGTTTAAGATGCCTTCAGGTTATCTGAGTGGAGGTGTCAACCAGCCTGTTGGGTATCAGAGGTGAGTTCAGAGGGCAGTTCCAGGAGACAGAAGTTTGTATGTTAGCAGTGTAAACAGTGTCTGAATCATCAAGGGGTTAACTGTCGACAGAGATAAAAGGGGGGCCTCAACATAGACCCACCCCTCAGAGTAGGATTGGGATATGATGGGGTAAACAGTGTGTGGGGGGGAGGATTTTCACATTCTTACTTTACATATATTTGTTGTTGGTTTTTTTAATGATCAGATATTATTACTTCCCTGGTGGCTCAGACAGTAAAGCATCTGCCTACAATGCGGAAGACCCGGGTTCGATCCCTGGGTTGGGAAGATCCTCTGGAGAAGGAAATGGCAACCCACTCC